GGTTCTGTCTTCAATGTACCCTTCCCTAAATGTAGTTTTCAAGTCCAAAATGTCAAGGCTTGGCCAGTAACTCAAACAATTGCTATCAGGCACGTTAGGGGTTATCTGCCAGGGTCGGCCATCCTGTTTTCTATTTGTACGATGGTTTGTTTTTAATAAATACCGTTCTGAAGGGCGAGTGACCATTATCAGTTACACTTACAAACAATTGTGGATTCTTAGAGGATATTTTTTTAATTTAGCCAAATAGGAGGTGTTGGATAGGTAGAGGATGGATAGTTGGTGGAATAGGACCCCCAAATTAGGTAGACATTTAAAGGAATTGGTGTTGCTTACTTAACATTCTCTTCAAGTGCACACTTGCATTAAATTTATTTATCTTAAGGGAAAAGATACCTGTACTGCTCTTGAGATACTAGGTTGTTTCAATTCTAATAACTCTTGATGACTTTGTGTTCTTTTAAACTACGTACTAAAGACGCTTTTTTATTCTTTTCTCTAATAAAATGTCAAGCTCAGTATTACAGTCCCTAAAACAAAATCAATTGTGTCCTGAAATATAGTTTAAAAAACCATGAGCCCATTTTCTTTCTCTCATAAATAACAAGAGTTTCCCATCAGCTCTCCCCTTCTCTTCCTCCTCCACCCTTCCCCGCCTTTCCCTTCCTGCCAATCACAGGTGGACGCTCAATATCACCCCACAGCACAAGATAAATAAGCTTGGAAGGTTTCCTAGCAACAAATTGTTCTGGGAACCTGTTCTGTCTCCCTGAACAAGCTGAGGCCAAACATCCCAGAACCTCAGCCAGATGGGAAAAGATTAGCTTAGTGAGGGTGTTAAATGCATTTTTGAAAATTTCACTTTGAAATGAACCTCTTAACATAAATAGCAAGGTTGACTTTTAAAAGGACACTCTTTCCCATGTAAAAAAAATGAAAACACACACACACAAACACCTCAGTTATATTAACAGTTTGAATTTTTTTTTAAATACGGTTTCAGAAGAAATTCTCCAGAAACAAGCTTGCCTTATGTAATTCATGCTTTGGTGAATGGATCCATTGTCAGAACCATGTAGAAAATACTTCCACATGGGACTGAGGCTCCACCGGGCACCCAGTGGTACCGGTACCGGTACCGGTATCGGTTGCAAAATACTGAAATACTTCTGATCTGTGGGTAAATGTCTGCTGGAGTAGGCGCCCTCCTCACAATACCTCTCGCTTCTCCCCGTGACCCCAGGCCCTGGGGATGCACGTGAACCACCTGCCCTGGCTTAACACCAGCAGACTTCTCCCCGTTTCCCTCAGCACCCAAGCTACTTCGATGGTAGGGATTGGCTGCTTCATTGTGAGGGTCCTTTGGGGATTTTCTGAGTGTATGATTCATACATACAGAGAGAGGAAAACTAGAAGAAATTGAGGCCCCTGTCACAGTCAGGGAACGCAGTGTTGTTTTGTTAGCACATAAGCGTAGGCTTTCCTTACTGTTTCTCTGAAGGTCTTGAGGCCCCATGGTTGGCAGGTGGGGCTTTGCTTTCCTTTGTGCCCTGGGTGGTCACAGTGCACAGTGAAGGTCTCTGAGAGGGAGTGAGAAAGGATTAGCCCTCCTCACAGCAGCAGCCAGCAGAGGTTTTGCAGTTCGGTTACACCGGGGGGAATGCCCTCCTCCTTGTTTGACTGTGGGGACATTTCCCCATCCGTCAGGTGAAGATTGTCATCATATCATTGTTGAATGATTTACACTGTCTGTCAGGTTTGGACTGAGTTTGGGAAACTTCCCAATTGTGGTGAGAAGCAGATAACCCCACACCTGAGAGTGCTCCTGGGTGGGGGGAACAAAGTAATTAGAATAAAATGGGGAAGGACACCTGGTGTCTTTGCTTTTTATTTAACAAACTCCCTGGCCGGATTCCAGAACACTAAACTATACTCATCCCAGAAAACTGTAGGTAATTTTATATTCATTCTGGGTGCGTGCCATTCTCTCTGGCTCTCTCTCACACACATACACATGTTTTCTAAATACCATAGTTTGAACTTGACAAGAAACAATCTGTTGAGAGCCTCGCAAGGGCCAGTTACTTCGGTGTGTATCATGACAGACAGAGGCATCAACACATCATCCCTACCTTCACCAAGAATCCAAGAATTCAGCAACATAACACATTTGTAATCTTTTAAAAAATTAAATAAACTTTCTTCAAGTCACTTATTTAAGACCTAAACATTAAGAATTGTTTCATTTTGATTGTCCAAGGAATGCCTAAAAGTAGACTTTATCTGTTACATGGAACAAAATAGATGATAGTACATTAATTTTGAATGGATATGTATTAAAAATAATTTTAAAGTTTTCATAAACCAGGCATTATTTTAGATATTTTACTTACATTATATAATTGAATTTTCATGGTAACAATTATGAAGTAGAAATTTGCTTACCATTTTACAGATGCACAAACTCAGGCTAAGAGAGGTTAAACACCTGTTTGCCAAGGGATTGATAAAAATTTAGTTCTATCCAGTGCCAAATCCTATAACCTTTATATTGGGTTGTTGGAAAAGTCAAGACGTATTTTGTTTATGTTTTTCAAAGGTCATTTATTTATATAAAGAACAAATATCAATCAATGATATACTGCCCGTTTTGTTCAATAACCTTTTGCCATCTTTCAGTGAGCTTCATAATTCCTCATTCTTAGAAGGACCTGTCTTTATTTGTGAAAAACTGAACAAGGTGCTGATTTACAGCCTCATCTGAATTGGACATTATACCACGCAGGAGTTTTGAAGAGAGCGAAACAAGTGGAAGTCTGACGGTGCAAGGTCAGGCGAGTTTGGTGGGTGTGGCAACACATCCCATCCAAGCGCCAATAATTTTTGACGGGTGATCAAACTTGTGTGTGGTCTTGCATTGTCGTGATGGAACACAACTCCTTTACAATTAACAAGCTCTGGATGTTTCTGGATGATGGATTTGTTCAAACTGTCCAATTGCCAACAGTACATATTTGAATTGATTGATTGGTTCCTTGGTAGGAGCTTGAAAAACAGGACGCCTTTAAAATCCCACCACACTGAGAACATAACCTTCCTCTGATGAATATCTGCTTTCGATGTTATTTGAGCCGAATCATCACGTCGGGTCCAAGACCATTTGCACACCACATTGTTGTAAACAATCCACTTCTCATCACCAGATCAGTCGCTTCAAAAAAGGATCATTTTCCTCACGTTTAATGAGTATATTGCAGATATTTAGACGCGCCATTCAATGAGCTTCTTTGAGTTCATGCGGAACCCAAATATCGAGCTTGCTTATGTATCCCAGCTTCTTCAGGTGGTCGTGAATGCCTCAATGATGGATGTTCAATGTTTCTGCAATCTCTTGTGTCATGTAACATGGGTTTGACTCGATCAATGCCTTTATTTTGTCATCATCAACCTCGGTGGGCTTCCCTGACCGAGGAGCATCGTTGAGATCAAAATCACCAGCATGGAATTTTGTGAAACCATCGTTGGCACTGATGTTCTTGTAAAGCATTGTCTCCATAAACTTTATGCAACTTTTCACAAGCTTGACGCATGTTCTTCCCTTTATGGAAGTAAAACAGTAAAATATGGCAAAAATGCACAGTTTGGTCTTCCATCTTCAACTGGTTGTAAAACCTCCAAAACTCAATCAAATCAGTCAAATTTTTTTTAGAATGAAGCTAGAACTGTCAGCTGTCAAATGACAGCAATAACATAGATGCAAATGACTCTAGTACTTCCAAAAATGAACCAGTGCCATCTGTTGCAAACATGTGTCATGACTTTACTGACGACCCATACTATGCTATGCTTATTTATTTTTAGAATCCTAAGGTTCTGTATGATTCTATTCTTTTCTCAGAAAACAGGAGACTACTGTCTTTTTTAAAAAACATTTTATTGGTTGGTTGGGGGAAGGGGAACAGACAAGTTGCTGTCCTTTTGTTCTTCAGTCTAGTTGTGGAGGATGTCGCTTCACTGGCCCATGTTGGTATTATCATTGAGCTCTTCCCAGGTGAGGCAGTTGCTCACCGGCCATTGGACGGCCGCTCACGGCAGCTCACACTGGTTGCCGGCCACTCATGGTAGCTTAGGGCAGCCCACTGCAGCCCTACTGCAGCCTACGCCATCGCCTGCCACTCACGGCAGCCCAGCTCCAGGTCGAGCTGTTGTTCACCATCTTAGCTGTAGAGGGTGCAGTGTCATTGGCCCATGTGGGAACCGAACTGGTGGCCCTGCTGCTCACAACTCGCGCTCCCAAGCCAACTCTTAACCAACTGAGTCACTCAGCCGGCCCCTGAGACTACTGTGTTTTACACATGACATAATTTTTGGAAGAAATAGGTGATTTGTTTAGATGATTTTCTATTATTTCATACAGCACAATGATTCCTATTTCTTTGAGTTTTCAGTGATGAATTTTAGACTCTCTTTCTCTCTGGTATGGTAACTCCATTTCAAAGATATTTTTTGTTGCTCAACTTTTTAGTTGTATAAAATAATTTTCATTTTCAACATGGTATAAAGCTTTGAGTGAATTTTACTTAAGGAAAGGTAATTACCAGAAGTAGTAGCACTGTTAAATACCCTAGAAAGAAAGACGTGTGACATATCAGCAATATTGTAGAACAGAAATGGACCCACTACAGCCTGTTTTTGTAACCTAAAGTTTTGTTACAACACAGCCACACTCATTTGTTTCTGTATCACCTGGGGCAGCTTTTGTGCAACAACAAGAGTGAGATACTTGTGACCTAGACTGTCTAACCCACAAAGCCTAAAATATACACTGTCTGGGCTTTCACAGAAAAAGTTTGCAGACCCCTGGCCTAGAATCTAGATTTCCCCCCTAGCTTTGAGTTGGGCGTGCTCCATTAGAATGCCAGACTCAATTGGGAAACACCTCAGAAAACGTGTTGCCAAATGATCTCCCGTCTAACAGGCTCTTCCTCTAACCCCTGCAGGTGCCGACCAAGAAGCTGAAGAAATATGAGAAGGAATATCACACGGTGCGCGAGAGCCAGCTGCAGCAGGAAGACCCCATGGACAGATACAAGGTAGGGCACACGCGGGTCACCTGGCAGAGCAAAGGGCCTTTTCACCCTAAAGCTGCAGCTGTGGCAAGTTCAAGTCTCTCTGTTCCTCCCCAGTTGAGTTAGACACTCTCTGACCATGCTCAGTGTCCAGGTATATTTTCATTTCAGGAGACTCCTGAGTAGCCCACCATAATATTTCTTTTCTTTCAGTTTGTATATTTGTAGGTAACGCCACCTGTTGCATTTATACTGGGACTCTTCATAAGAAGCTGAGAGAAAGAGAGGGGAAAAGAGAGAAAGTGGCTATCAACTACTTTCAAAAATGAGAAAAAAGGAAAATGGCTAAGTACTGTTTTAGCTGTGCACGGTCACATCCACAGGGACTTCTAGAAGTGACGGGTCCTGAGGCTGGCACAAGAACGTTTCAGACTTACCGGTGCCTGTAGCGAATGTGAAAAATGCAAACTGATTTGCAAGGAAAAATAAAAAATCACAAAGGTTTATTGAGAACAGTAATGGTGTGTGTCGCGACATTTCTTTCCACAAATTTGTGACAGTGACATGTCACTGCAGTGTTTAGTTTCAGAATCGAAATGGTGTCAGTTTAATATCTTAGTGAAGTAATTATAGTATTTAAAAAAAACTGGGCTATTCACAAAGCTGGATCTCTTCAATGGTAATTAGCAACACAGTTCCCGTGAGGCAGTGTGGGGGGAATACTGATTTCGAACATTTTTCCAACTGAAATACATATTATTATCTGTCTTCAACATGTTTTAATTCTTCAGATTCCTACAGATGCATGGTTCCCTCCCTCTCTACATCAGTACATTAGGATAAAAGAATATTGTATTCTCACAGTGAGCACCAGTGATGTCGAAATGTCCCCCCTCCAAAAAAAAATACTGGGTTGGCATTATGAATTAAGTCACCCACAGTGAGATAACTTTCACTTTTGTAACTAGAGTTGCCCTTATGTGGTCAGAGAGCTGGACGTGGCAGCCAGGCTCACACAGTACATCTTGTCTCTGTCGCTAAATTGAATAGCATGGGTGGGGGCCTTCAGAGAGCAAGAGCATGGTGGAAACAGTATATGGAGCTTGTAATCAGATCCGGGTTCGAATCCTGGCTTTCCAAAAAAAGAGCGCAGAATTTAGAGTTCAAGTTGGGGCTTTTCATCCCTATGCCCTTGTTCGGCTCTTAGGCTAGCTATTGAGCCTCTTCCTCATCGGCCAAACATGTTGTATCCACATTGCCATGAGGGATTGTTGTGAGGGTGCAATAGATAAATGGTGGTTTTAGCCTTATTGGGCCTCCTGCCTCAAATTACCCACGTATCACTCGGATAGCACCACCTTCCATGGGTCTGCCCCACCAGGCCCTTGCTGATCTTCCTCGTATCTCTAACAACTATCGCTACCCAGTAATCTAACATCAGTATGTTTTGTCCGTTGTTTATAGAACGTGCTATAGAACTGATAATAAAATCCTACATACTGCTCTAGTAAATAATTATTACCACATAAAGTGCTCACAGAATAAGGTTTGCAGCTAACTACCACCTGTCAGTAAAACCAATCTTAACATGGCTCATGTATCATGCTGCTTTAGAAAGGCTTGAAGTAGTAACTAGGAAATAATTTTGAGGATCCAAAATGAAGCCCTCTTACTGCTTGTGTCATTCTAATTTTCTTATTGCTGCCATCATTATAAATAAAATCTAGGAAGTGTGCTTTAAAATAGAAGAGAGGAAAGTGAAAGACTTAAATTGTATATTTAAAATCTGTCCGGGACTGAACTTGTCATTTTTCCTTAAGTCCTGTTCATGTCAGAGCAGATATATATAAATAGTACAATGCATATTATTTTTTTAAATGCTTACCAGGCATAAGGCTATCAATGTGTACAATTTTTATTGAGAGGTGAGAGTAGAATTAAACTTTTCAATTTTGGTTTGAAAACAGATTTGAGTGTTGTGGCCTCTTCTATTTGTACATATCAGGTACCTTCTATAACTATTTCTTTTGTATTCTTATAATAGCTTGTCAATACGTCATCTAACTAATATCTCTATACTCTTAATAACGTCCAGATGTTTGTACTGGCGATGGATATACTTGGTAAAATTGTAGTTCTCAAATTATTATATAATTACATTTAGAAGGTGAAAATTGACAGGATAGTTTCCAACCATCAACAGAATTATTCTTTCAAATATTTAATTCTAATTTAAGAAGCTAATTATTATATAATTAGCTTAATTATACAAAGATAGTGTCTTAGAAAATGCCGTTTAGCATCGTCTAAATTTAATCCTGTCAAGAATAAGACCCAGGTCCTGGGAACAGGCACTTTATAAGATCTTGGACTAGGAACCTAGTTATGTAAATTCTTAAGAATAACTTGGGAAGATCTTTGAGCCTTTGAGTCAGAACTTCCCCAGTTCACTCACAACCCCTTCTCAATCATTAGGATCCACACTGCTTCCAATGCCTGTTTACCTCTAGCTTGCCATATGGCAAAGGAGTTGTGTCAACTTAAAAAATAAATAAATAAATAAATAAATAAAGGCCCAGAAATGTCGTGCACTAAGATATCTAAGGGATTCTTCAGTTTGGTGCTATTTCTCTTGAGCGCGGTGCTGGACAGAAGGGGCTGTTGCAGGGGGGCTGGAGGTGGGATTAAAGACCGACAGCGCAGAGGTAGCTCTCAGCAGTCACCTTCTTTCTATATCTATCTAACATGTGTTTGGGGTCTATTTTTATGACATATGCAAATATCTGCATTCTCAGGTTATGTCACTATGCTCACCTGTAGCTAACTAACACCTAAATCTCAACCACAGAGAGATGAAATGGTGTTGGAATCAATTTAAATTTTAGAACCCTACACACAATGAAAATGTTCCAGAATTAGATAGTGGTGATGATGGCACACCTTTGTGAATATACTGAAAGCACTGAATAATGCATGTTAAGTGATGGTTTTTATGAATTTTATGTGAATTATATCTTTAAAAAAAGCAAGCAAAATGTCCAGGAGGATTGGCTTCTGGCCCAACCGTCTTCCTTTCAAAAAACCCACGTCATAACAAAAGTACCTGCGCGGAAGCCATACTTGTAGGAGCAGAGACCTTCCTGTCAAAATTGGAGCTAATTAATGACTATAGGTCCTATGTGTACCCATATTTATAGGGGAAAGGACAACATAAGTGGGTGGCACATTCATTTTCATATATATATATATATATATATATATATATATATATATATATATACACATACATGCACAAAGACATAAACACAGATAAATAAGTAATACATATGTGCGTACACACTGCCTTTGCTTCCTGATCTTGGCATCAGCTTGTATTTGAAGCTCAGTGAGCTCTATAATGACTTTTTACAGCCTTTGGTATACTTTTTCTGTTTATCTTCATGGCCAGATCTCAAGACAGAGAAAGGAAACTTTATTGGGAGAAGAATATAGAATATTCTAAGTGTCTTTGATTGTCCTTCTCAAGTTTAACCTGGCCAAAAGTGTGTAGTAGTATTTATCTACTCGGATATTTTGGTTTGTAAATGGATTTGTTGATTTCAAATGAAGTGAAGGATAAAGATTTGTCTGTAGTAATACATCATGTATATTTTCATTTTCACCCAAGTCCTGAGAAAACAAACATTCATGGATATGTGTAGCTGTTTTAATACATTTAAAAAATTAGTAGCCATGCCCCTAATAAGCAGTTTTCAGTTTCAGAAAGTAAAACATTATCTTCTATTTTAAGGAGATGAATTGTTCCCATTTGGGGAAAGTTGGTTTTTCCAGTAAAATAAATTGAGGTACTTTTTAGAGAACTGCAGCCTTCACCTACCTCCAGAAGATACTATGCTTTTCTTGTTTAATTAAAGAGCTACTTGCACAAATGTGGGTTAAGCCTTAAGAAGCACAGCTAATTAATTAAATTCAGTGAATCTCCCAAAGCATAGTGAAGGTTATGTTATTAGCTATTCTAGATAGGAAAATCCTAGAAAGAATCAGGAGTGCTTATACTCTCTAGGGTTTGGGACACGGATAGTATTGTATTGGGTTGTCGGAAAAATCATGACGTATTTTTTCTGTTTTTTGTTGGAAAAATGCGTCATGACTTTAACGACAACCCAATAAATACATAATAATCTAATTGAAGTATCTTCTCCATGTTCAGTATAATTAAATTCAGAAGGTTTAGCTTCTTTCTTGAGGTTACACATAGTAATTTTTAAAAATTAAAATACTTAAACAGTAGAAAAGTGATTTCTCGAAGTTTTTAAAAAGTTTTTCTTGCACATACTAATTTTTCTAGAGCCGTTGTCCTGGCACGTCATTTGAAATTAAGCTATTTAATTGTACATGGTAAAAAAAAATACAAAATATTGGAAGCAAAGCCTAATTGTACTTGTGTTATTTGCCCTTCTCACGTATCTAATGAAATAATTTAGAACAATTACCACATTTTGTTTTTAACTTGAGTAGTGAAGAATTTACATTTTGCTAAACTTCTTACCTCGGGGTGGAAAAAAAGGTTTCCTTTTTTCTTACTGTGTTGGGTCCTTCCTTATTCAGAGAAGTCAAGATGAGTGAATCCATCTTTGAAAAAGGTTTCTATATGAATAAAGGTAAACTTACATTTTATTATTTTTCCACACCACAGAGACTATGGTTAGCTTTTGGAAATATTTATGTTATGAAATAATGTGCTTTTAATGAATAGTAATGGTCAAAAGGATGGTTTCTATGCCAACTGTGGTAACGTAATGATAAACTTAAGAAGGCCGCCTCTCTTGCGTTTTGAGCTTGGATAACCCAGTGAACTTGCTGTTTGTTGTAGGATGGTGGAGAATGCAAACCTGAGGCCTCCCGAGGCTTCTTGAGCAACTTAGCTAAGAAGGAGCAGGTGGTTTCCAACAATGCTTGTCAGCCGATAGAGTTGTACTTAACACTTGCATATAAATGCTATGCATATTAAGAATTTCTAAGTG